GTTTAGGTTTTCATAACTTGAGCTTGCTGCTTAAGCATATTTTCATGTATGCTTTCTTACTAATGATTTGCCATCTATCCTCTTGTTGACTTTGTATTCTCTTTGTGCTGATTTCAGCATTTGATGGAGGCTCTTGGCCATATATCCAAGGACAGAGATAGACATCTGAATGAGTACAATGATTTGAAGGCTAAACTTAATCATGACTACGACGAACAGGCTGAACAGAAAAGAAGCTATCATCAAGAAGTGGATTCACTACTCAAGTTATCTTCCAAAATCAAGGAGTATGTTCTTCTGAATTTAGCGATAGTTGTGTGGACCCAATACCTGTGTCTTAATCTGCAGACTGCTGTACTAGGTACCATGATCTCAAGAAAGGAGATAGGTTGAAAGAGCTGGAAGAAAAGCAAGGTGCATCAGAATCTCAGCTTCAAGGTTGTGATCAGAGGAAACGAGAAATTTCAGAAGAACTTACCAAAAGTAAGGACTTGATGAGGAATCAGGATCAGCTTAGAAGAAATATCGAGGATAACCTAAACTACCGAAAGACAAAATCTGAAGTAGATGACCTCACCCGTGAAATTGAATCTCTAGAAGACAGAATACTCAAAATCGGTGGTATTTCTACCATTGAAGTTGAACTTGTAAAACTTTCACAAGAAAGAGAGAGGCAACTTTCTGAGGTATTCATACTTCTGATAAAACTCTTCTATCTTGGGCCACCCACCTGGGTGTTGTGTCGTGTCTCATCTAATCCATGAGGTTAGAAATATCTTAAGGCCTGTGGTTTGCCTATTGAGGTGGGCTTCATCATCATCATAGAAGTCAAAACCAATAGTGATGAGTATTTGCTTGCTACCCTGTACTGATGCTGGAGCCATTAATGAAATTCCATATTGAAGGAGAATATATGAACTTATGGTGCTATATGGTTATTTTGGTCTGTTCAATCCATCATACAATGTGCTTCTTTATCAGAGACGTGCGGTTCTGTTCCCATATCTCGCATTAGCTCGGTGTTAAAGTATGTTTTCAGTTAAAGGGCGTCATTATTCTTTTCTTTTGTTTGATAAGCAATTATCCTTGTTTATGGAGACAACAGTACTCTTGAGCCTCGAGTTTCCCTCTTCTGTCTTTCGTTGTATTATTCGCATACTTAATTTGTGTATGTATATGGTATAATGGGTATCTATTTCTATCTGAATTATATACGGTACAACTACTTAGTTTCTCATTTTTCTTCTTGCCACAGCTAAACAGGTGTCAAGGAACGATGTCTGTCTATCAGAGCAACATTTCTAAGAATAAATTAGATCTTAAGCAAGCCCAGTACAAAGACATTGACAAGCGATATTTTGACCAGTTAATACAGCTCAAGGTAAAATGTTTATGAATAGTAGTTGGTGTCCTTTATATTTCTCAGCTGGAGAATAAATGAACCTATTTCTGGCAGACCACGGAGATGGCAAACAAGGATCTGGACAGATACTACAATGCCCTTGACAAGTGAGCTCTCCAAATATACTCCATTGCCTTTTAAACTTAAATGTTTCAGATGTTGCCTTTTCTCCTTGTGTTCATGCAATGTTCTTAGGAACTATAAATACAAAATCTGAAGTAGAGTTTGGTATAGGTAAGTGTGTTGCTGTAAATGTTAGTTTGGAGAGTGAGGAACAGAAGGGAATTTGAGGGAAAAGAGTTATTTGGATGTTTGTCTATATGGGTTGATGGTTTGAAACTTGAAACGTCTGGCATAGTGGAAGGATCTTCATAGATGTGAATGCTTTGTAGACATTGTATATTCTCTTTCTCTCTGTCTCTCTCATTCTCCTAAATGAGTTTTACTTTGGGCTCTGAGCTCTTTTTTTTTCCCAACATGGTTCTTCACCCACTGGTGCCATTTCAATGAATTATTAAGGATTTTAACGGGAAAAAAATCAGATTTGTAGTAGAGAAAGGCACTCTACTGAGGTTATACAACCATAAGTTTCTTTTCTTAAGCGAATTTTTTAGCACCCAAAAGAACACTGGAAGACAGTGGTAGAAAAAGGATAGAAAAGCGAAGAAGATGGAAAAACAAGAGATATTAACCCTGAGATGGGTGAAGAAATCTGACTCTTTACTGGGGTCATATAAAGAATAGCAGATTTGATAGTTGGTGAGGGGGAGCCCCTTGACAGTTATGTAATGTCTGAGGAGTATTTTTTTGTGATTTTCTGTTGATGCAACATTCCCTATGCCGACGAGTTTGGCCACATTTTTTTTAGAGCCAAAATATTCATAGAAGTGGGTGGCATCAAGAGGGTGCAAACCCTTATGCATAAGAGCTCTATTTGCAAAAGAGAGAAGAGGTCTCTTAGATTTAAGAGCGCCTTTTTTCAACTCCTTTATCTCTTTATATGACCTCTTTTCCAGCATAGAACCGCAATCTTCCAAATGAGCTTAGATTGTCCAACTGCATTTTGTCACTGCTGCATTTATGCCCATTTTCTCTATCCTCACTTTTCCTATCAGGTGCATTAACTCAAATTGATCGACTTTTGTTGTTAATTGTTTGGTGTTCGTATGAGCGCTGCCTCTATATGGCTTCAAGCGGGTGAAAATGACCAGTTCTCACTGAACTTCTTCTTAGTCCAAGACACTTAATCGACTGAGATTTATTTATGTTGGACATGACCTGATTCCCAAATTTGCTGGAGAAAACATTCTTGGTAACAATAGAAGCTTCCTTAGATGATACATTCACTTGTAGCTACTGAGTAATTGGGATCGTGTTTGTTCTCTTCTTGATATTCTTGAGAAAGAGTGCGCTCTATGATTGCTTCTTTGTTCCTTTGGATTCTATTTATGGCATTGTCTTACCTGCGCAAAAGGAGATCCAAATGGTCACAAAGCGTCATTTGTGACATCTTCCTTCTTGATCCCGTGCCTTTCTATTTACATATTTTGTGAATTTGAGGTGCTTTACTCTATCCTCTTTTCCCTAGCCAAGGAACCTTTCTCTAGGGACATGTTTTTGGGACGATGGTTGCGAAGGCTGAAAGTTGACGTTGCTTGTCTTTACAAATGGCTTATTCACTGCGGACCATGACCGTGATACTTTTCTTTGACAGAGCTCTTATGCGATTCCACACTATGAAAATGGAAGAAATAAATAAAATTATAAGGGAACTGTGGCAACAAACTTATAGGGGACAAGATATTGACTACATCAGAATACACTCGGACTCGGAAGGTGCTGGGACTCGATCTTACAGCTACAAGGCATGCAAACCTTTTTTTTATTGACATTAATTTAATCTGTTCAGTGAGATGATGAGCATCTCACCAATGAACTTTGTCAATTATGCAGGTTCTCATGCTAACTGGTGACGCAGAGTTAGAAATGAGAGGACGGTGTAGTGCTGGTCAGAAGGTGCACAACTTAGAAGAGATCACTTTGTCTACTTCCATCACTTTGTCTACTTCCATCAGAGTTAGAACTTTGTCTATTTCAGGTTCTTGCTTCACTTATCATTCGCTTGGCTTTAGCTGAGACCTTTTGCCTCAACTGTGGAATTCTAGCACTTGATGAACCAACTACCAATCTGGATGGTCCTAATGCTGAAAGTCTTGCAGCAGCTCTTGTGAGGTATTACCGATCTTCTATTTTGGTGACAATGGGTGAGCATAAGTAGCGATCATGTCGGGGTTACTGGACCACAACTTGCAATCATTCATTTTCTTTTGTTCGACTTCTCCAGAATTATGGAGGACAGAAAGGGACAGGAAAATTTTCAGCTGATTGTCATCACGCATGATGAACGGTTTGCGCAACTTATCGGTCAACGACAGCATGCAGAGAAATATTACCGTGTCTCAAAGGACGATCAGTAAGTTTTTGAATTTGTTGACTCCTATCTCTTCTATTTCGTCATCTTGTCTACTATTGTTTTAACTTCTTGAGTCACACTATCAGTCAGCACAGTATAATTGAAGCCCAGGAGATATTTGACTGAAGATGAAGATTTGGTTCTCATAGAAGAGGTCTTCTCAGGATTCATGTGAAGTATATGTTTACCATCCGTTTCCTTGGATGACATGAGCTCTCTAGTAGCTTATGTATGTTCACTTTTATAGTTTTGCCTTTTGTCCTTACTTGAATTTTTGGAGTTATTCATGCTCATGCTTCAGTAAAGATGGCATGTTGAATAAAGTGGAATAACGATACCTGTGAGTAATTTTCTTTGTGATCATTAATTACAGGCAAACACCAAGTCATGCTCAAGGTTTCAGAACTGAATTGGTCATGTCGAACTGGAAGAGGCAGGAAAATTCGAGGTGTGAGTTCGGCGAGGGTTGGTATGCGATGCATTTTCTGACCTTGCAATGTTTAATTACGAGACCATATAGAGGGTTTCTGTAAATGACTATGCGTTGAAGTTAAGTGTACTCTTGACGATATAAATGTGAGTAAAATTCCCATCATTTTCTGTTGCAAAATCCATATTGTTCCTTGAGACTCTGCCTAGTGTCCATCTGAAGCCGGGGTTTCCTGCATTCTCATTTGAAATTGGAAAAGCTCAAAATCTGACCGTGCAGACGTGATGAAAAAATTTACAGTCCGGCTCCGTTGCTTTGTTATATGCATCTGCAGAAAGCTGGTGGGAAATAGCAGCGGCAAAACAACTTTTCACGTGATTTTCCGCATGTTCCAATCATGGACAGTCGTGAGTAGAGAGACTAGAGAGGATAGATGCAACCACCGGCCCCCAGTCCTTGGCTGCCTAGATTCTCCTCGAGTACTTTTTACATTGTGAATCAACTGTGCTCCGATGTTTAATCTCGCTCTCATCAGGCTTAGTAGAGCCTGAAAATTTGCTTATACAGAATGAAAATTCACTAACCAATGACATTGTCCTTGGACAGACTGATTTGAAGGAGTGAATCAGCAAAAACTTCTGTTCTTCAAGCACGAGTTCTCTCCGGAGACTAGAAATGGAAAAAAAAAAAAAGAGAGGAGAAAGTCCTTACTGATCACACCCTTGGAAATGTAACGTTTAGATCATGATTCAAGGCATGAGAAACATGCAGTTAGGTTACAGATTGTAGCATACAGTCCTGCTTTATGGCATACGAAGAAGGCTCTAAACACCAAGCCGAGAAAGACCAAACACCAATTTCTCTTTATTTTCATAGAGCCAAATCAAAAGGGTAACATCTTATGTCACCACTTCAAATTAGATCACAGAGCAATGATCACATCACCATCTCTTTCTCTTTCTCCGAGACGGACTCTTTCAATTCTTGATGTCTCCGACGTTTCGTGCACACCCAGTGATGACAGCGCACCCTCTGTTGTACGGATTGGCCTGCCCACCGGGCAATTGTAGTAGGAAGCCCCTGGTCTCTGGCAGGGCACCGCGTTCCTCCTCAGCGTCTCGTAGCTGATGTACTTTGCGTTGCTCTGCTGCGCCGCCAGCGCTCTCCGGCCGGTCTCCCACTCCATCTCCGGCTCCGTCACGCACTCGCCAATGGCGGCCTCAGAGCATGATGACCTCTCCAGAAGAAGATCAAGACCGCTGCTTCTCAGTGAACTGAGGCCTAGAATGGACGCCCCATTGCAGGTTGCGAGGTGGGTGAGGATGAAGAGGAGGTATAGGTGGAAGAAAGTGATGGAGGTGAGCTTAGGGTTGAGCTTGAGCATGCCTGTCTCTCTCTGGTTTCTTTGAGTGGGGATTTTGTCGGGGACAGCGAGGACGTGGGATTTTGCCGTTTTGGGCAGTTGGGGTTGGGGGGAATCATTAGTGAGGACGAAACAGTCTTGAGGGATCACTTATAAACTTGCATAGTGTGAAGACATTGAGATGAAGCGGTTGTCAGGCAGACTGGTATATTTGGAAAGTCATGTATAAATATGGGTTAATTCCCTAAAAACACCCCAGCTTTAAGTTTAGTTTCAATTCTGCCACAAACTTTTTTTTGTCTCGAAAAAACCCGTTTTAACTCTTTTCTTTTCTCCATACAATACAAATCTAGTAATATATTTTTCCAAACACATATCCGATCCGATTTATATTACTAAAACACTTCCTTAGTTAACTCAATTTAGGAAAACTCATACTTCAACTAAGGTGAAAGCATAGAGTGAGCAAGCGCGAGATAAAGCGAGAAGAATATAGAATTTTAGATGTGGGTTGAGTCTAAATAAGTGACGCAGAAAGAAGCGATAACTTGGAAAACCTTCCACGATTCGACTGGAATTCAATTCAATTCAATTAGATAATATCTGAATACAAAGCTGGACGTCCTTTTATAATGATAGGACTCCTAAAGATATCCGAATTAATGAAGATACATCAAAGCAAATCAAATCTAATCTTATCTAATAAAATCAAATCTAATCTTATCTAATAAAATCAAACAAAATATTGATAATTCGAAATTGCCTAAAGTAAAAAAAACTGCCTAATCAGAAAAACTGCCAAGATTTTCGGCGATTACGGCGATCACATTCTTCAAGATAATCACATGCTAACTGTTCTACATCATTCCCTCCCTCTTCAGGAAAACTCGCCCTTGAGTTATGATCAGGATAGAGGGGTGTATCAGGAGCATGATACTCAAATAAGTTGCCACATTAAATGTAGGGGAAATGTTGAGATCACTAGGAAGGTCAACTACATAGGCATTGTCGTTGATCTTCTTCAGGATGCGGCAATGACCAATCTTCTTGTGCTTCAGTTTATTATAGGTACCTATAGGAAAACGCTCCTTTCGCAGGAAGACCATTACCTCATCGCCTACCTAAAAATTTTTCGAACGTCGCCGTTTGTCAGCATCCTCCTTATACTTTGAATTAGAAGCAGCCAATTGACTAGCAACAGCAGCTTGGACTTCATTAATTCTGGTCGCCAAATTCTCCGCCGCTATAGCCAGGAATCTTGGGCAAGGGAACCAAATCCAGAGTATGCTGTGGTGTACGCCCATAAACGACCTAAAAGGGAGATGTACCGGTAGAGCGGTTAACCGAGTTGTTGAAGGCGAACTCAGCAGGAGCAAGATACCGGTCCCACTGCTTAGGTATATCACTGCAGAGGCAGCGAATGATATCCGCCATAGTACGATTCACAACTTCCGTCTGACCATCCGTTTGGGGATGAAAATAACTACTATACTGTAAATCAGTCCCAAACAAACGCCATAAAGTACGCCAAAAATGGCTCAGAAATTTCGTGTCACGATCGGAAGTGATTGTCTTCGGCACACCATGGAGACGGACTACTTCACGAAAGAATAAACTTGCCACATGCGAAGCATCCGAAGTTTTCTTACAAGGGATGAAGTGCGCCATCTTCGAAAACCGGTCAACCACCACGAAAACATAATCTAAACTCCGTTGAGTGCGAGGAAGTTCCAACACGAAGTCCATCGACATGTCTACCCAAGGACCCGAAGGAATAGGCAAGGGGGTATAAAGACCAGTGTTCTGAGAATGGCCCTTAGCGGTCTGACAAATGTAGCATTTACTGACAAATCGCCCCACGTCTCGCTTCAGTTGAGGCCAATAGTACCGCTCCTCCACCAAGGCTACAGTTTTATTTCGCCCCAAATGTCCGCCAAGAGTACCACCATGAAGCTTCCGAATGATTTGTTCACGCAAGGAACCACGAGGAATGCATAATCTATTGCCAAAGAACAAGAATTTTTCTTGAATTATCATATCGCCATGACACCCTATTTCAGAACACTTCTCCCATATCTCGCCAAAATCATCATCCTCAGGATAAAGAGAACATAGGTGATCAAAACCGACAACATCAGTGCGCATGGTCACGAGTGTCGCAGCACGTCGACTCAGCGCATCTGCCACTTTATTTAAATGGCCTGCTTTATGACGAAGCACAAATTTAAATTGCTCCAGAAAAGAAACCCATCGTGCATGGATTCGATTTAAGTGCTTCTGACTCTTGATATATTTAAGAGCCTGATGATCGGTGTTAAGATAGGACTGCCAATGCTTTATAACTCGCACGACAGCATAATATTCCTGCTTATACGCCGACCAACTCCGGCGAACTTCATTAAGTTTTTCACTAAAGAAGGCTATAGGCTTACCTTCTTGGGAAAGGACAGCGCCAATCCCGACGCCGGAAGCATCACAGTCCAGCTCGAACACTTTCTCAAAATCAGGGAGCATCAATATCGACGTCGTGGAGAGCTTTTCTTTTATAAGAGCAAAACTGGCCGAAGCTTCATCTCCCCAATGGAATTTCCCCTTTTTTAAACAGTCAGTGATCGGGGCCATAATAGTACTGAAATCTCGAATGAAACGCCTATAGAATGTTGCAAGGCCATGGAAACTTCGAGCCTCACCAACATTCTTTGGAATTGGCCAATTGCGAATCACGGCCACCTTATCTGCATCAACGTGAAGTCCATCCACGCCAACAACAAAACCCAAAAACAAGAGGCGTTCTGTCATGAAGCTACACTTTTTTAGATTAATGAACAATTTATTTTGCTGCAAGGTTAGTAGGACATCCCTCAAGTGCTCCATGTGTTGACGCCCATCCGGACTATATATGAGTATATCATCAAAGAAAACTACCACAAACTTGCCAATAAAAGGTTTGAGAACCCGAGTCATCAAACGCATGAAAGTACTAGGAGCGTTAGTGAGTCCAAACGGCATGACAAGCCACTCGTACAAACCCGCACTTGTCTTGAAGGCCGTTTTCCATTCGTCGCTAGGACGGACGCGAACTTGGTGGTATCCACTTCGAAGGTCGATCTTCGTAAAAATCCGTGATCCAGCAAGTCTGTCTAGCATATCATCAAGTCGTGGAATCGGAAACCTATACTTGACAGTAATCCGGTTAATGGCACGACTGTCTACACACATACGCATGGTGCCGTCTTTCTTTGGCGTGAGAAGCGCAGGAACTGTACATGGACTTTTGCTTTCACGCAAGAAGCCCTTTCGAAGGAGCTCTCCCACCTGCTCCTGTAGAATCTGATTCTCCTTCGGATTCATCCGATAATGCGGCAAATTAGGAAGACTAGCTCCTGGAAGAAAATCAATCTCATGCTGGATATCCCTCAAAGGAGGTAATCCGTCAGGTAAATCTTCAGGCATAACATCACTGAATACCTTAAATAAGGGCTTAAGAATGTCGGGAACACGAACCACAACTTGCTGGTCGCCCTTGTCCACAATCATATACATCCCTTCATGCTTTCGGATGTTCATCATAACCCCTGCATTCTGCTTCTTCACAATCTGAGGGGAATTACTCTTTGGTCTCAAAGTAATTTTAGTCCTTTTCCACACAAAAGAATACGTATTCTCCCTAGCTCGGTGTGTAACATCAACATCATATTGCCATGGTCGACCTAGTAAAACATGACACGCATCCATCTCCACAACATCACAGACAATAGTATCTTGATATGATTTCCCGATCGAAATAGGTAAACGGCATAATTGGTTTACCTTAAGTTCTGCTCCCTTGTGTATCCACCCGATCGTGTAGGGCGCGGGATGCGGCTCCGTCTTTAGTTGCAAGTGATCCACCAAGACCTTTGACACTATGTTCTCGCAACTTCCGCTGTCAATAATGATATCGCATACTTTGCCGTTGACAGTACAGCGAGCGCGGAAAAGCTGATTCCGCTGGGTATCTTCTATCCGCGGAGTAAGCAATAGACGACGCACTACACAATTAACTTGCTCGCCCACTTCATCTTCCACTCCCACTTCTTCTTCATTTTCCCAATCTTCCTCATACACATCTTCGTCATGTTCAACGATATTGGCCATTCTACGACGAGGACAATCGCTGGAACGATGGCCCAACTCGTTACACTTGTAGCACCTGATCGGTTGGGGCTTGGCATATGGATTATGGGTATTCTGATTGGGAGTGCGATTGCTTGCTGCGACTGCTTCCTTAGGCGTTCCAGTAGTACCCCCTGGAACTCGGCTCGAATCAGGTGTTTGTTGACTAGAAGAACTTGCAACATCAGGCTGTCTTCCTTTCCCGAATGACCCACGACCCGAATAATTGCTACCACGAGTACTAGGGCTAGTCCTCTCCAATTGCACCTCAATTTTTTGCGCCATATCCTGGGCATCTTCGACAGAGAATAGTCGATGCAAAGAAACCCGATCCTGGATATTAAGTCGCAAACCATTAATGTACCTAGCAGTTTGTTGTGCCTCGGACTCATCCAGGTTATTGCGAGCGGAGAGTCGAAGGAACTCTTCCGTATAAGCTTGGACCGATCTATTCAATTGTCGGCAATTCTGGAATTGCTGAAACAACAGTTGCTCATAGTCCGTTGGGAGGAACCTCTTCTTCAACTTCTGTTTCATCTGACCCCATGATCGAATAGGAGCCTTGCCTTGTCGACGTCGCGTCAATTGAGTCTGTTCCCACCAAGCTGAAGCGCCACCCTTCAACTTGTACGCCACAAGTTTCACTTGGCGATCCTCGTCAATATCCATAGCGTCGAAGAATTTTTCGACCTCCCAAAGCCAATCAAGGAAATCTTCAATATCCAAATTCCCATTGAAAGTAGGGAGATCTACCTTTAGTTGATACTGCTCAGGATCTCGTCGATATCCTCCTTGACGTCGATTCCCACGAACATGCTCCTCCTGGAATCCCCTGTATCGGCGACCACCACGAATCTGTATCTCCTGGAAATCATCGTCTTCGTCTTCCGTATCCTCGACATAGTCTTGATGCCTTTGTCGGGGAATTCCTCCTCGCCCCATAGCATCTTCGGGATCAGGAACGACAGGATTTCGCTCGGCTGGAAGAATGCCAGGCGCATGGTTTGTGGACAAACGCTGGATGGCATCAAGGATCTCTTGAAACCTCCGATCGGTTTGATCCACGAACTGATTGAACTCAGCCCGCGTAATAGGTTCGTTCTCACGGCCCTCAGCAGCGGGGAGATTGACATTCACGTTATTCACCATCGTCACAGGAGAAACCTGCTCTGATACCAAATGACGCAGAAAGAGGCGATAACTTGGAAAACCTTCCACGATTCGACTGGAATTCAATTCAATTCAATTAGATAATATCTGAATACAAAGCTGGGCGTCCTTTTATAATTATAGGACTCCTAAAGATATCCGAATTAATGAAGATAACATCAAAGCAAAGCAAATATAATCTTATCTAATAAAATCAAATATAATCTTATCTAATAAAATCAAACAAAATATTGATAATTCGAAATTGCCTAAAGTAAAAAAAACTGCCTAATCAGAAAAATTGCCGAGATTTCCGGCGATTACGGCGATCACATTCTTCAAGATAATCACATGCTAACTGTTCTACATCAATAAATTGTGAATCCATTTAACACCCATACGAAACGTATTTATGACCTATAAAGTTGGGTCTAAACTCATTTGTGATCAATTTATTGAATATAACTCACCCATTTAACAAACCAGCCCATCAAATATAGGTTTAGGATCCATTTTGACAAGTCTATTGCCGGTATGATTTATCCAATGGAATCTAGTGTTCAATGTGTATATTTGATATCTTCAATAAATTGACTCAAGCACAAATGTACCAAGATATCCCATTATAGAGGTTGGCAGTGAAAGCCAAGCATATTGCTTGGGGCCATGTTTTCCAAGTTCGAGATCATCCGACTGTCTGTCTTCCTAATTGGCGGGTTACAACACCGGACATCTTTCACATCAATACGGCAGTTAATTTTGTATATAGGTGATGTCCATACCTGCCAATTGGAAGTATGATTAGAGGAAAATATAGCCTAATTACTTTTACTCCAAGACAGAAAATTGTATTGGGCGGGAGAGATGAGTTGAGGCGTATTTGTTTCTGCCAAATTGTCTAGTACAATGAAGAAACGTAGTCGACTTCGGGTGATCATGAAATGACGGGATTGTAATCCACGTCACAATGGCAACCATTGTGGCTCCATCAGCCTATGACGGCAATTACTCATTCACATCAATTGGTATATTTTAAATTGTTGGTCGACGACCAAAACCGATGCCAACATTCTACCACTGGCCACCGATCTGACGGTCGACGGTAGTCCCTTAAAAATTTCCTTTTTTCTACCATGTATCTTCCTCCATACTCACTGTATGTGGATTGAATTGAACTTAAGCTGAAAAATCTGGGCCCAAATCAAGTACACACCAAAATGGCGTGGTTGAAGACTTCAAACGCACGGCAATCTTTTCCTCAAAAAGATTCATTAAACCAACGAAACTCACACACAGACAGGAGGGAAACTCCAAAGACCCAAAACCCTGTCTTCCTCCTCCCGGCCATAACAGGAGGCGGAGAGAGAGAGAGAGACAGAGGCGATGAAGTACGCAGTGAAGGCATGGAGCAACGGGAGGGCGCGGGCGGGAGTGCTGCAGCTGGGCAGCGGCTGCCCGTGCCCGCTGGAGGTGGAGACGCCGTCTCTGCTTCTGCCCACCCGCAAAGGCCTGCCCCTCTTCATCTCTCCCGACCTCCTCCCTTCTCTCCCTTCCCCTGACTCTCGCCTCCTCCAGTTCAGCCCTCTTCACTTGTACGTGCTTCTCCCTCTCTCTCTTTCTCTCTCTCCGTGTCTAATCTTTTTGGCTCCTTTATCTCTTTCACTGTAGAATGCCCTGATGCTGTTGACATGTTTTGAGTGTGTGTGTGTGGTCGTTCTCGTTTCTGTTGATGATGGTACTGTGGGTTGGGAAAGAAAAGAAAGCGAAACTTGTAGGGGCCCTCGTTAAGTCTCATTGAATTTGTTGTGGGTATGTAAAATTGTGTGTTCAAAGTAGGTGGTTTGCTTAAAGTTTGTGCCTTTTGTCGATTTTTAAAGTGTCTCGGAAAGTGTTGTTACTTATGCTTGTGGATGAAAGCTAACGTTGCTTGCGGAAACAAGTCGGTATTAGTGATGTTCATCATTTTCGGTTTGTTTCTACGTTTCAGTTGCTGTCTCTGATTCTTGAGTAGTTTAAAGTAGTAGTTTTGGAAGTGTAAAGCTTAGCATGTGGGTCGCGTGCGAATCTTCTTCATTGGGGATCTAGTTTATTGAAACCTGTGATCTTTGTTACTGTAGCTTAGACGGACTTTCGACGCAGACAATATCGAATCTTGGAGGTCTCCACCGGATGCTTGGTTTGCATGAGTATGGGTTGATTGCTGTTCCGAGGGATTCCATTCAATGCCTTCCTGCATCTGAAGCAACTAATAAATTCGGAGCATCGTTTGAGACGCCATGTGGCCGTCGTTTGGTAAACTAATGGTTTTCGCATGTATTCACTTGATTCGAACCATTCACCAAAGGAACTGCTTGAAGTCGTTGCATGATTGTGGTATTGCAGATTAAACCAAAAGAATACATGGAAATGATTTCTTCGATGAGGCCCGACATCTGGGTCACATTGGCGGATGAGGTGCCAATTTGGGTATCTGAAAAGCGAAACAGTTCTTCTGTGGATCGAACCATCAGGTGGCTTGATGAATGCATTGCATTGAGGCCGGTACAAACCCAATGTTCGTTTCCTATTTTAGTATCTTGAACTACTGTGAATCAGAAATATCTTGATTGGAATTAATGAGCATGAAAAGAAGTGACGCTGCTCTGGACTGAAAACGTGAAATGCAAAATGATTTTTTTCCTTACCAAGGTGCAACTTTCTCTATACTAAAATAAGCAGTTTGAAGCGACAAGAGCTGCTTTAGGTAAACAGCTTTTTGTGCTGGGCAGTTCAGTAGATATTTGTGTATGCTATGCTTTCTCTCATTAGTTTCATGGCCTGATCAATCTAGCTTATCCTTTCGACCAAAAAAAAAAAAAAATCTAGCTTATCCGTTTGGACTTTCAACTTGCTAAGTTGCCAGCCATCTCTTCTGCTGATCATTTATGCGCTTTCAAGAACGGTAGAACGTTACATTGGGGAATTTTGATTTTGCTTCTAGAAGACTCTGAGATTAGTTCAGAATGATGCTAAAACAAAAATCGCTCTAAAATTCATGTGTAGTTAGGTGGAGACATCTTTGGTTCTATTGTTGGTGGAGCTAATGTGCAGCAGCGACAACTATGTGCTGAAGAAGTTGCTAAACGAAATGTATCAGGTACTTGCTAATTCTTCCGCGATAGCTTCTACCAGTGAGATACCAGTGACCTGTTAAGGCAAGCATCTTGTAGAAAATCGCATGGCCTATCCCTATCCATTATTAATACCACTGGTTATGTCTTATTTGTTTAAGTCAACTTTTTTTTTTGCTAGAACATTTGTTTATGTCAATTTACAAGGGGCTCTGTGTTTCGCTCATACTTACACTTCTTCCTAATTTTTATTGTTCAGATAAATTCGTTGTGATCAACGATTCTTCTTGATTTCCTATTTGAATAGTTAGAAATTCTGCTGTCCACAGGTTATTGGATTGGGGGATTTGGGCTCGGAGAGAGCATGGATGAGCGTCCTGCTCTGCTTAAAGCTGTTTGTGTAAGAGCTTGCTTACTCTAGTTTCTCAACTTTCTACATGAATTAACTTGGAAGAATTTGTGGTGGTTGCCTTTTGACTCTGTGGAGTCTAGAGTACAATCTGGTCTACTTTTATACTGCTGATCTGCTTTTACTGTTGGTTCGCTTCATAAATTTTCACGACTAAACTCAACAGACTAAGCAGAGGAAATTTCCTTTTAAATTTGGGCAGTCTGTATGCTCAATTGGTAATCCTTAAGGCATGTATGTTTTTGTGAGTATGATGAGTGGCAGTTTCTGTTTCCTTTGCTTCCTTCTCTTTCCAACTCTTATCTGGCTCACAATCACGTAGAAGATGTGAGTAAAAGGCTAGATTATATTCGGTAATTGAAGTCATGAAGTTTGCACGAATTCTGTTATAATTATGTGAAACTACAGCTAGATTTATCTCCTTTACATCCTATATATATGTATGTTGTGGTAACTTCCAACTTGCCTTATATCTGATTAATTCATCACGCTGTGTTTGATGCCCATGATTTGAGATCAGAAGAGCTCGGTGTGACATGCAAGGCTTTTTGTTGTTAACTACTGCTGTTAGGATTAAATCTTCCAGAATCAATGTGTGGTGGATCTTCGATGTTGGTTCATTTATTTTAAGTGCGAGCCACCACTTTCCACGACTGGCTGCTTGCTCCAATCGCTTAGGATGCATAGTATGGTTCTTTGAGGAGACCTTAGTTTCTAAACGGTGATTAATTCCTGCAAAGCGATTATCCTTTGCAATTTAATTTCTCCGAGTGGATGTGTATTCTCATCCTGGTCCTTAAATGGAGCAACTTTTTTTGTGGCTTTTGGCAAATGGTTCTAGGAAAGCTTCCAAAAAGCATTTGGTTTCGATGCTGGATGAATTTTTTTTTAATTTCTTGGTAATTTTGATCCTGCTACTGTCATCAGGATAACTTGCCTGAAGAAAAGCCTCGTCTAGTCTGCGGTCTCGGGCTACCTGGTATGAGGTTCATTCCCTCCAGTTTTTCTTGCTTGTCTCCTGTATTTTTATTGTTCTGGGAAGCATTCAAGTGTCGGCTGTTTGTAAAGAAGTTATCCTTGTAATTGGGCAGTGATGCTAGCTGCTCTCTGGCAGTCCCAGATTATATTCAGAGTAGTGTTAGACCATCAGCTATTCTATGATCATTTCAGTTCAGAATTTGAAATCTTATTGTGATATTATTCTCCTTTTGATATGTATGCTTTAAAAAAATTAATTGTCAGCAACAAATCCTTGCAAATTGAAAGTTTATACTTATTCATTGTGCAGAGGAGGTTCTACAGGGTGTTGCTGCTGGAATTGATCTATTTGACACTACGTACGCAACTTAGCCGTCTACTCTGGAACTTCTTCGTTTGCTGTCATGATTTGGCTGAGAACTGATTGTTCAAATGAATGTTGGCAGGTATATTTACCACATTACTATTGGAGGTTTCGCACTTACCTTTCCACTTGATAAAATTGGAGCAAGTGAATTCATTCCTTATTCGAGTGACATAGGAAGTGACCAGATGAAGATCAATCTGAGGGCGACTGTTTACCGGTAATTGATCAGATCCTTGCTTGCTCCATTTTGATTTATAGACGTGACAACTTGATCTATTGGAGAAGTTCACTTCTTAGTCTATGTCTGGATTCAAATGGAAGACCCCATTTAGTTGTCCTTTTAGCATGATCTGAGAAAGTTCGGCATTCTTGTCTGAACATGTGTGCCAGTGCCTTAGCTTGCATGTTCTCCTTTTATTCTCTTTTTGTCATAATGGAGGCACATCCACATTGCATAATTTCCGAACTGATTACCTTCGTATGCTCCAGGAAAGACGCTACACCTATAGTCCAAAGCTGCAGGTGCTATACCTGCAAGAATCATACGAAAGCGTATATAAATCACCTTCTCAACGTTCACGAGATGCTTGCGCAGATTCTACTGGAAATGTACTCCTCTTCCCCTCGACTTTTTCATGAAAGGTTCCGCTTCTTTTTAAGGGTCATTTTTTATTTACCCTCTCTTTCATCTCTGTTGCAGCCATAATACCCACCATTTTCTTGGTTTCTTCCGCTTGATACGAGAAGCAATTAAGGAAGGCAAGTTTGAACGATTTCGAGAGAAATTCATCCACGATAGGCGTGAGCACTTGGCTGTTTCTGCTGTTCACGCATGAATTGTTTGGCTCTGCTTTTGTTTCTGTTAGTGGCAGTTCGGTTAAAGTCGGGACATCAGTGACACTGCCAGATTGATTAACTCTCAGGAGAACCATCGATACACGATGGTACAGTTAGAACTTGGAAGCAATTCGTTGCTTTTAACAATGACGCGGGATGGCACCTTAAGTAAACCAAGGACCATGAACACACTACTAACTTCATGGACCACGTAAGATGCGAGCCGAAGTTATGGTGAGTGGCAGAACTATGTCAGCCCTCGTTGGCACTCGTAGTTTCACAAAAGCGTAATGTTTACCTCATGATTTGCCTCGTGTACTTGTGAAACACCGAAGGGAAGAAGAGTTTCTAGGACCTTTTGATTTGTTTGAGGCTGCCCTTTTTTTCTTTTGGCTGCCTTTGCTGGAATATTTTAAGAGGCCAACGAAAGACTAATGATTCACTGGGCTGATCACTACAGCTCCACGAAGTGTGAGTAAGGAAGCTCAAAACCGATGATACACTTAAGAACCCAAATTGTCCTTCGTATGCATAAGAGGATGTCTCATTGGGGGTACTGCAAATGTATTTGGGGTTCATTGTTGATGCCATATGGTCAAAGATAATATAATCTCAATTGGGTCTTGTTAACAAGAGCTCCTATGGTACTAGTTAAGTTATCGAAATGTCAAAACAAAAAAGAAACGATAGAAATACAAATTTTGGTAAAATAACCTACTGCATGTAGGAAATTGTATATTTAAAGACTTAATAAGTGCCCGTGGAACATTCTTTTAACATTATCTATTACAATTTTTTGATAACCTACACAGTCGGATAAGAAAAGATTAGGGTTAATATAATGAAAAATCCCAAGTTAGTATAGTCGTGACAAATGTATTCCAAAATCACAAAAAACCTCAAATTTGGTACATTTATAATAAATTTATCTTTCATTAGTTTCCGTTAAATTGGATTAGTACCACGAAAATTACAAATTGGTACACCTGTGATAAAAGGAGAGTAAAACCCAAAGTGATACATCTATCAATTGTCACATGTAATTCAGATCAGCAATTTGACAGTAAAATTTAATGAAAACTAACAAAGGGACGGGTGTGCCCGTTTGGAGTTTTTAGTAGTCATAAAATTAGTTTGTGGTAAATTTATCTCAAGTGTACCAGTTTAAGATTTTTGATGATATTAACCCAAAAGATTAACACAAAGGCCAAATATGGCCACCCTAGCCCCAGTTTTCGATCAAAAAGGTTTTGAAATGTCGAACATCGCCTAACAACGATCGTGCCAACTCCCACGAGGACCCGACATGGCTTGGCGTCATGCACCCCTCTAGGCATCGTTGGGGCCGCAGGACTTGTGATGCCGCCTTGCCGGGGTCGTGTGACTCTCAGTAATGCCTGGCGGGGAGTCACCGACCAAGGCTTGACATTTTTCTTTTTTACTATCTATTTTTTTTTATATTTCTTAACTCTAAACCGTCTTTTAAATTTTTAAAATGTCACGTATGACGCCAAGTCAGCATTTAAGTCCATCGTTTTGACGATTAGGATCCAATCGAACATAAAATCAAATCCAGACCCAGTTACCAAAAAAAAAAAATTTCAACCATCTAATTGAACTTTTCATAAAATTTGAGAGACCCATGGTACCTTAATCCCTCAATTTTTTTTTTCAAATATATCAACTTTACATTCACGTTATTAAGAATTAAGACCCTTAAATGTCTTCTTATGGTAAGATAGAAGATATAAACATGGATGGATAAGCAAACCATGCTACAAAAGCCCACAAAATTGCATTGTCAAGCTGATTTGACTGCCCACTCCAAAAGCAGCTTCACCGTTCATGGAGTCCCCTCTCCACCGGCAGGCAGGGTGACGAGCTCGGTGTTCAGCTTCCCCAAGCGACCATTTTGGGAGCGAATCTGCCATCTCCTCTCCTCTGGGTCTCTTGAATTCAATGCCCCACTTCTCTTCCTCTTCCCTGTAATGCTCAAATTCTCTTTCTCCCGTGAATGCGACACGAAACTACTATGTATGAATCGTTTTGAAGGGGCCCTGGGCTGTGACTTTCAGGACCAGGTGGGTTCTTCAGATGCGTACCGTGACCCCCGTGCCTCGTGCTTGTACGTTGCCAGTGGCGGTGTCTGTTAGCTGTTTGATGAAGTTCTCAAACCGCGTTGAAGTTCTCTGCTTTGTTGTTGTTCCCGTGATCTGATGCCCTGGTCTTTTATGTATCATCTGCATGACAAAGATTTCGTATTTGGGTCTCTTCTTTGATGGGTTTTGGTGGGTTTTGTTTTGGGGACATTTTGAATGATCTTTCTAGCGCCACCACCAGTATCAGTAATGGAGTGCCCTTCCTTATCTTCTGCTACCTTGGGTTTTCATAATTCTCGTTTACAAATCTCATGACTGGATGCGTGTAAAAGTATCAGTGTCGTAAGATAGGTGTTTGTTAGAATTACTGTGCCATTTTGGTGTGCATTGATATCCTCTAGCTTACGTGGTGCGTGTTGATTTTCTTTTGCAGATATCTTCTTAAACTTAAAGTAGTGAACTGGGGACTTCACTGACGAGTTAGAGCCACATCCGTTGTGCTGTTGAACTTTGTCAACTGTCTTCAGACCAAGGCAAGCCAAGACTGCCGATATCTGGAGACGAACCAAAAACTGTATTGTCTTTTTCACGCTCTCAATAATGAATGAGGGACTTGAGCTTCTCTTTGGGTTCTTAATGTACGAGTTATCTCACAGTGGTTTCCATCGCGGTTTGCTTCGGTGAATATTATAAACAGTCAAGCCATCGTAATTAGTTGAGAAAGATGGTGCTTGCTAAAAGTTTCCCTGTCTTGTCATTTATCACGAAATCAGAGATCCCATTTCTATTAAAACATCAGAAAAGATTCTTGCCCCTGCTTTGTTGTCCTAGTTCCTTCATCACGAGAACTGTTAAAAATTATTCTTTCAATCTGCATTCTATGAAGAGAATAAACCGCCTTTCCACCTCAGCAATCCTTAATTCCTCGGCACCACTTCATCAGACCTCTGGTGAAAAGCTCTCCAGGAAAGCAAAGAAGAAAGAACATATGGAATTACCTGAGTCGTTGCTCAAGTACAAGCTAGATATGTGCTCGAGACATGGAAAACTTGTTGAAGCTCTTCAACTTTATGATGAGGCTCGGGAAAATGGGGTTCCACTTTCACAATACCATTACAATGTGATGCTTTATTTGTGCTCTTCTGCTGGAAGTGGTTCACTTGGACAAGATGGCAGTGAAAATGACGAGAATCTAAAAGATTTGGGTATGAGGAGGGGATTTGAAATATTTCAGCAGATGGCCATTGATAATGTTGCCCCAAATGAAGCAACATTTACCAATGCTGCAAGGTTAGCCACTGCTAGGGAAGACCCTGAAATGGCTTTTGATTTGGTTAAAAAGATGAAGAATTTTGGTATTCCACCACGCTTGAGGTCCTATGGACCTGCCTTGTTTGGGTTCTGCACTAAGGGAAATGCTGATAAAGCTTATGAGGTAGATGAACACATGGTTGATTCTGGAGTTTTGGCTGAAGAGTCTGAGCTGTCAGCACTTCTGAAAGTTAGTGTGGATGCAAAGAAGGCTGACAAGGTGTATGAGTTGCTGCACCGAATACGTGCTACTGTGAGGCAGGTTTCTGAATCATCTGCTCAAATTGTTGAGGATTGGTTCAAATCTAATTTTGCTGCTAGTGTTGGCGTAGAAAGTTGGGATGTTAACAAGATTAAGGAAGGAGTAGTAAAGGGAGGAGGAGGTTGGCATGGACAAGGGTGGCTTGGCTCTGGTAACTGGAGGATTCGAAGGACTCAAATGGACAAGAAAGGTGTGTGTCAATCCTGTGGTGAGAAGCTTGTTTGTATTGATATTGATCCAAAGGAGACAGAAAACTTTGCCAGCTCTTTGACCAAACTAGCTTGCGAAAAAGAAGCTAAGACTGGTTTTGCAAAATTCCAGGTGTGGAACCATCTTTCCTCATTGGATCTTGACCATTGAAATCATTTTATATCTAGCTTCAGTTCTTCACGTGTCAAATTCTATAGTGCATATCTCTATTCAAATTCAGAAGGATATCGTCTATCCTATTCTGGTGTTATACATAAGTCAAATGGGAATGGTCTCCCTTATCTGGAACTCAAACTGTTCATTGTATTTTTGGAGAAGTCATTGATCGACTTTCAATTCTCAACGAAAATTGGTGGGTTGATACAATCAATGCATTAACAGAATGAAAGAGTTTAATGTGAAGGAATAGAAGATAATAGCATCAATAATTGCTGAAAAGAAATGAACTAAGTTGTCTGGCTTTTTATGTTCAAGTACATTCCTCTGGTAGCTGTTCAAGTGCTATATCAGATAATATGTGTAGAACGATTTTAAGATGTATTATTCCCCAGTTTTCAGCAAATGACTGGTTTACTAGATTAAGATAGTACCATCGTGCAAAAGATGTTCCCCCAGTTTTCAGGAAAGGGAACAGTTAACTGATTGGGTTGGTGCTCTCATGAATGAATGGTAACGAATGAGATCAATTTTTACTAGATTAATTATGTATCTTTCAGGGCTAGGTACCTGTGTATATCCAATTCACTCCCTTTCTGTGGGGATTCATCATAAGTACTTAAGGATATGTTACACATTAACTCTAGATTTTCTCTGTGGTTATGGCATTGTTTATCATTGGAGGATGTTTGGATGCTTTGGCAAACTATTATGTTCTTGTGTCATGTAATGGTAACTGAATGAGGTGACAAACTCTTCTAGGCTTGGCTTCAGAAGCATGGACCTTTTGATGCTGTCATAGATGGTGCAAATGTGGGTCTTGTCAACCAGCATCATTTCAATTTTTTCCAGGTACAGATTAGTCCTGCAGGACTCTCATTCTGATTTATTAATGTTCCTTGGAACAACATTCTGATGCTGAATTGTTGTTTCGTTCTAGGTCAACTTTGTTATGAACAAGTTACGGGAGATGAGCCCATCAAAGAGATTCCCTCTACTTATATTGCATAAAAGGCGTGTGCATGGAAAACCTGATAAAGATCCTAGACACAAAAAATTGTTGGAGACATGGGAGAAGTCTGGTGCACTATATGCAACTCCCCTAGGCTCAGATGATGATTGGTAAGGTTTTACTAAATGCGAGTCTAGTGAGTGCATCTTTAACTAGTTAAGTTTCTCTTCGCTGGTCCATTTTCCACCTTGAAGCTATGCATTTTGCTTGGCAGAACTGTCAGCAGCATACTAGTTCATGAGAGTCTTATTGGAGTTGTGCTTTCGGAGGTCATCGACCTTATATTTGGAATGACCACTATTTGGGGAGTGATACATCAGATAAAAAATTTCCAATTAGTGGACCTGAGATTTGAAGTCAATGGGATGTGATTTAACAAATTTATACAAAAAAACTAAGGGGATAGAAGGTCGAAGACAAAATACTATTAGGCAATTTGACAAGCATCCAGTCTTGTTGGGGGAAGAGGGGCATGGGGGGACATAGAAACTGTCTTGGGGAAGAGGAGGGCGGGGGGACATAGAAACTACCTCAAGAGCTTGAAAAATTCAAAACCATAGACACCATGATAAAGTTAATGATGGAACCATCATAAATGACAAGACTTGTCTCGTGTGTTATTCACCAATCCAGATCTCCTCTGTTGTGTCCAGGTACTGGTTGTATGCTGCTGTCCATTGTAACTGTTTGCTTGTCACCAATGATGAGATGAGGGATCACCTATTTCAGTTGCTTGGATCTAGCTTTTTCCCAAGATGGAAAGAAAAGCATCAGGTTGATATTCATTACATGTCTTCTTTCTTTTTGGTTTGAGATTCTATTGATCATTCATGTGCATGTTTGAAATTTGTCTCTTTGGATTGGGGAATTTATGCATATCATGTTCACAGACGGTGAAGCTGATGCAAAAGACATCAGCTTATATGATATACTTGAGCTTAAAGATGGAGTGATTGATTGAATATCGGTTGACATATTGTCGATGTTGGGTTCTGTATTAGTGTGCCACTCATTCGGATGCCATTTCATAGACATGGATCGAATAGTCTCACTAATCATAAGTTTTGTCCTCTCACAGTTCTGTAGTTGTGTTTTTTGATCAAAGGTGATGTAATGGGGTGCTCAAAAGCCAGAAAAATGTCGTAAAAAGAAGATCAAAATTTTCAGACAATTTTAATCAAGAAGAATATTCCGGGAAGTTTATATTATAGGTTCCACTCTATCTCATGGATTTCGTATCTTCCTCAACAAAGTACTTCAGTAATTGAAGTTACCTGTATTTCTTCTGTACACCTAGTAAGAACTGGAAAAAGTAGAGTAATATTTTGATTAATCTTCTATTTTGGTATGGGAATAATATTATCTTTTGGATGGCAAAGTACCTCATAAACTATCACAGGGAAGGTCTGTACAATTGGAAGCATCAGTCGGCATTTCTAACATTCATGGAGAGACACTTATTTATATACCCCTTTACTGATTCCTCTTAACATGTGGGTAACGGTAAATCAGAAGGAAACACAGAAACATGGTAGTTTGCTATTATGCCTCTGAATGTCTTTTAAGAGAAATTAAAAATGCTGTCAGTTTTGACAATCTTTTACCATCCTTTGGATTTTTAATTTCGACAGCTGGCTGACTGGTGCGCTTTTTATGCGTATAATTCTAAAAGGTTTAATATCTTAAATAGCCGTCTCATGGTTACCAGCTTCCTTTGTTGCAAGGGATCTATCATATTTATTGGATACGTTTAAATTAGTAACAGTGTGAAGCTTTTCTTTGTATAGGTTCGGATATCAGTCTCAAAACGCAGTATTCAACTTCACATGCCTCCGCCTTATTCAATTGTCATTCAGGTCATACTCTGCACCTAATCTTTCTGTTCTGTCATCAGTAATGCAATCTCATAATTCTCCCTTCTTTGGTTCAATGCCCTTCTCTCTCTCTCTCTCTCTTTAACTCATGAATGCGGCTTACATCTTTGCAGGAGTCGGAAACTGGTAGTTGGCATGTGCCAACAGTCACAGGTGACGATTTAGAGACGCCGAGGCAATGGTTGTGCGCTACCAGATCCAAAAATGTGTCAAGCTCACTCTCAAACATATTCTGATATCCTAATCTGTATCATGCCATTATTCATTCTTCCGCACATTAAAATCCATGTCATTCCATGGACATTGTTTGATGTTTGGCGAGTTTATATTAGTCTATATTTAGTATGTCCATCGATTTAAGTACACAGGTGCATTGGTTGATATAAATCCATTATCTAGTGAAGTCTATCTGTTAGAAAGTTTAACCCAAAAACTTAAGCTGATAGGTGGAGATTTATGAGCTGCATGTGAAATTTTGACTATGCACATTCAAGTGGAATTTTTTGCCATGCACCTTCACGTAAGGGATAACAGGATCTGATACTATGTTAGAAAGTCCAACCCAAAAGAATTAGCTGATAGGTGGAGGGAGAGCATATGAATATAAAGAACAACTAGGATCCGTTGTTAATATGGGACAATATTTCTAAACTATCAATTAACTCTGTTAGGTCACATTATACATGGGTTCTTTTTTGTTTTGGATAATTGTAAAACCGTTCTTATGTTTGTCTTTCGTACCAAATATTGTTGTCGCGTTTCTACTACTTCAATTTTGCATCTCCCCAACTTTGAAAGACCCATTTTGCACACCCAATGGAGAATTAAGTCATTGCAAGGTAATCCTTAGTTTTCTGCTTTAGCTGACCGGCATTCAATGTAGTAGCTATATAACTAGTTAAAAAGCTTCCGGAAATCTCGAGATATTTTTTCCCTCTCCGGACGGCCGCGCCGTGCTCGGTGGCCATTTCTATGCACGCCCTGAAATTTTCGTATGTTTTGTTACATAGTCGGAGTCGTTGGACGAGTCTATATTGACAGTGACCATGTAGATGATTTCTTGTATCGTCGGGACATGGAGGTGGCGCTACGACACAAATTTGATCTGCACTCGAAATTTACAAACTTGCATAATTACGTATATTTAAAAAATTTGAGAAAAAAAAACATAAATAGTTTTTAAACTTTGATTCAATGTGTAATATCGTCTATAGATTTTTAATTTGTTCAATATCGTCCTTGAACTTTGGTCCAATGTAGATCTTCATTCGATTTGCTGAAATGGCAAATTAGACTTTATTTGACGACATGATTTGGACTTTTAAAAATATTGAGTTAACATGTCCATCTTTTCATCTATTTACTCTAAAAAAGTATAAAAAAAAATGGTGTTAACATGTCAATTGTTATTTGATAACATGGATTATAATATCTCGATTTGAGATGAAAATCTTATTTGGATAATGCACGTGTAATTTTTTTTTGTTTACCGTTCAAACTTAACGGATTGGAAGTCACATTAGCGCATCCGGTTAAATCATTGAAAGCCACAATCAACAAATTCGGTTAATTTGAATTAATGGAATGCCGATATTAAACATTTTTATATAGTTTAGGGACTCGATTGAACGGGTACTGATAATTCAAGGACCAATCATGTCATTCTCTCTCTCTCTCAAAAAAAAATTTAGTCTATGTTAATGGAACACAAGAAGATCACTTGATCCAACAACAATCTAGGGATATTGGGTCCACGTTAATCACGATCGTATTAAATAGAAGGGTTAATACCATGAAAAATCACAAACTAGTACACTTGTGACAATTTTACCCTAACCTATTTTTTTGACCATAAAAAACCCCAAACTGGTACACTTGTGACAAATCTACCCCGAACTATTTTTTTGACCACCAAAAACCCCAAACTGGTATACATGTGACAATTTTACCCTGAACTAATTTTTTAATATTATTTTTTATTTTTCGAATTTTTTTATTAATTTTTTATTTTTTATTTACTTTTTTTTTCCTTTCTCTTCAACCTCTGGCCGGTCGCTGGACCGGCGACCGACCAGAGGTGGAAGCCGGTGAGGTCGGGCCCGCCGGCCACTGGCGAGGCTCGACCTCGCCGGCGTTGGGCGAGGTCAGCCTCGCCTTGCAACGGCGAGGTCGAGCCTCGCCAGATCTGGCGAGGGCCCGGTCCCACCGGCCGCTGGCAAGGCTGACCTCGCCGTTGCGGGGCGAGGTCGCCGCTCGGCGCTTGGGCAAGGTCAAGCCTCGCCCGCTGCAGGGGCCGGCCCTCGCCGGATCCGGCGAGGCTCGACCTGGCCGTCGCAGGGCGAGGCCGACCTCGCCCAACGCAGGCGAGGTCGAGCCTCGCCAGCGGCCGGCGGGGCCGACCTCGCTGACTTCCGCCTCTGGCCGGTCGCCGGACCGGACCGGCCAGAGGTTGAAGAGAAAGGAAAACAAAAAAGTAAAGAAAAAATAAAAAAATTAATAAAAAAATTCGAAAAATAAAAAATAATATTAAAAAATTAGTTCGGGGTAAAATTGTCACATATATACCAGTTTGGGGTTTTTGATGGTCAAAAAAATAGTTCAGGGTAGATTTGTCACAAGTGTACTAGTTTGGGGTATTTTATGGTCAAAAAAATAGTTTGGGGTAAAATTGTCACAAGTGTACTAGTTTAGGGTTTTTCGTGATATTAACCCTAAATAGAATGGCGTTGTATATCTTGAAATTGATCAATTGACCCAATGAAGTAAAAAAGCACACTTAAGATTAATGGGTACATACACCTCAATTTAATTTGGGGTAAATTGATCACTTATGTACTAATTTGAAGTTTTTCGTAGTATTAATTTAAGATTTTATTGCCTTGTATACACTATAACATAACATATATGACTTCTGCCAAACATTATCATTTTTTATTCTTTATTTTTCTCTGGGTTGGTGTATTATGCTCAGTTAATGAAACTTTTGTCTATTTTACAAAAATTTATTTGTCGCCGATAAAAACATTAAATATGATTTTCTATCCAAAATGAAATTATTATTTTTTTAAAATTTCAATTCATATTCATTTTTTCCTCGGTGTTCTTCGACTCATGCCTTGGGTTGGTACGCAAGCTCAGTGAGATGTGCACGAGCAGGCATTCGCCTGTCTCCATGCAAGCGACCTCTGTTCTATGCACACCTCTACCGCGATCCGGCCATTGCTTACCGTAAAGCTTCAGCGAGCGACTTGCGCATTTCGTCGAACACCCGGTGAGTACGCATCTTCTCCGTGATGTTTTGAACAAATTTAGCGAGAAAAGATCCCGAGAACGCATTCTGGGAACAGTGCGCATCACCTGCTCGACGATTTGCGGGAGTGGGATTCGCGTTCTGAATCGCGTTCGAGATGGACGAGCTCTTCAAGGACCGAATGTTTGCAACGCACGCGGTCGCCGCCGCTGCTTCGGTGACTCTAGGATCGGCTCTCACTCATCCTCTCGATACCATCAAGACCCTTATCCAGGTTGGGTGTGCTGCGTGCGCGTATCGGGATACAAGCTATGATACAAGCTATGCCTTTTTGTTTTCTTCTTTCCCTTCTGAATTGTGGGGCTTTCGAATTGCCATCACATTTTTCTCTCTGTGGTGCAAAGCAGGTGGGTTCTGGCTCAACCAAGCAGCTGACTCCAACTCAGGCTGTGGAAAGAGTTCGGGCTTTGTCTGGAGGTTTTGGAGGTACCTTGGGAATGCAGCCATTTTTGCAGTCCATTTATCTTATCTTTATTCGATTTTTCTCCGGTTCATCGCGTAATTCTTCGACTAGCTCGGAAAATGGATAGGAATTTGTAAAGTACATCCTGTGGTTTTGTTCAAAGCTGGTTAGCCGTTTCTGGCATAAAATGGAAAAGAACAGAAAAGAAGACCGAGGGAGTAGTTCTGTTGGAGTCCATTACTTCAATTCCATGAAAACTTTGCTTATTCAACATAAATCATGTACAAATACTGTAAGAAAACTGAAGACGTCCCCACTTCCAAAAAATTACTCTTGCGGAAAAACCTTTTGTTTTTGGCGTATGCTATTTGCTGTGAGTTCTTCGACGAGACTATCCGTTTAGTAAAGACCTTCTTCATGATGGAAGTGGCAGTTGAAGTTCTACTGGTGGAAAGGGATATCTGTCCGAGTATATGGCAACTTGCTTGAGAATTGTTGCTCCTCCTTTTTAGTAGATTGCATGTCCAGAGGAAGATCAAGTGCTTTATCCATAATATTTTTGAACAAAAACAACTGAATATTCATACACGCGGTTCGTATTTGTTGATTCCACTATTGCTCTCTAATTGTAGGTCTTTACAGTGGCTTTGGATGGCTGATGCTGGGGAGAACATTCGGTCTAGGAGCTCGTTTTGGGGTTTACGAAGTTCTAACAGCATTTTGTAAAGGTACTTCATTTCCACTATCTTCTCTTTCAGATGTCTGTCTCTGAGTATGACTATGCTATGTCTGTCCTCTGTTTATCATTCTCTCTTTTCCCCCGGAAGTGTATATTCATTTTCTTTCATGCCTGTTGTTGAGTATACCTTGTTTTTTTTCGATGATGGCTTTGGCTTCTTCACTTTTTAAAAGCTTAGGGACCTATCTAACATTATGATACGTATTATCTTGAGTTGAAATGAAATACGTTTTGATACCAATCACCTTTTTAACCACTTAGTGATCTTCTAGTCCCTAGCTTTCCTTTGAGTCATCTATATATAATAACACTTTTTATGAGATGCTTTTATTTATACTTGCCAGCTGTTTTATATTCCTTTTTTAGTTTGGCTAGCAACCTCATTTGTATAACTTGTATAATAAGTAGTAATAAATATTTTCACTGCAGATGGTCGGGAAGACAACTATGTGTATGTCTCTGAGGCCCTTATGGCTGGACTTGCTGCTGGTGCAGCAGAATCACTTATAAGCTCTCCATTTGAACTACTCAAACTACGTTCACAAGTGACCACTGCTTCTCGTGTTTCGTCGTCTACGTACATCAGAGCAAAGTCAGCTGCTTCACCCGTAATTGAAAGGTTGCTACGTGGATATAACCCAGATAAGGGAATTTTGAGCGAGTATGTTGGCCTATTGTCCACCTTAACCACCAGGCATCCCAATATTGCAGCCGCCTTGCAAGAGTACCCATGGATGATGACTGGGTCTGGCAGGCCACCTTCTCTATGTGATGTAAAGAGGCCATCAGACATCATCTCTTTGGAAGGTTGGTCAGCACTATGGAGAGGGCTCCGATCTGGAATTGCTCGAGATTCCTTTTATGCCGGCATATTCTTTTCTAGTTGGCAGTTCATGCACCGAGCTATGCTTGACTGGAAGGCAGTAGGGATGGATCCTGAACCAAGGTCTTGAAACTCAGTTCCACTTGTCTTTCAAGGGTTTATATGATTGCGAAATTTTCATTGCTGATAGATGACTGAATTGGTAAAGATATCTTGCTTTTCATCGCAATCCAGGTTTCTTCCTTAAAGGGAAATTTGAATGTGAAGTAGAGATAGCTTTGTTGTAACATCATTCAAACTTAGCTGTTCCATGGTATTTTGCGCACATTTAGGCTCTAGTGTGTTAATGCATCTCCATAGCCCTTCCTGAGGGTTTTCCACTGTATGTGATTGATAGGGGTGTCTGGATAGAGGTATTGGAGAAGATTGTTTCATACTGCCTCAATTATTTAAAGCTTTTTTGGGTTTGTAGAAGTATAAGAGAAGGGTTTGAGCAATTGAGTGGTACTCAAGTCTTCTTCTGTTAATCCACATTACTTGCTTTCTGTTTACCCACTGCAAGCAACTGCATGGCAATTACTCCCTAGCGTGCTATTTGTAGAGCATGCATAAAGAATTTAGCTCCTAGGATGTTTTGTACTGACTGAATTAGCATTTTTACAAGCCTGATTTGGGGCTGCTGGTGAAATTAAAAATATATTGCTGAGCCAATGCAGGAGACCCATTTATTTATCCTTGAAAATTGTGTTTACGATAGGCAAATTTTATTGTAGGGTAACTTGCTCTGCTGGCTTTATGTACTACTAATTTAACCATGCTATTGTATGCTGCTTCAGGGAGTGCTTTTAATTGGATTAATTGAATTCAACTTCAATATTATTCAAATTGCTCTGGTGTTGACTTGTCTTTTCATTTTCTTCTCATGTTGCAACAGTTCTGATGAAGAAATTGGTCCTTTGTCTCCTCTGGCTGTTAGTCTCTCGGCTGGATTTTCTGGATTGGTTGCTGCTGCAGGTTCTCACTGTTTTGACACTGCCAAGAGTCGATCTCAATGTATCGTGCTACCTAAGGTAGATTACTCTTTACTGAGAGACATTTTATTTGGGTGTTTGATTTGGCAATTCTTATTGATGATACGAGTATGATAGACCATTGGTCATATTCTGAGAAATTGTGATTTATTCAGCCTCTGTTGCTTTGTTTTTGAATTCACGGGTTTTTATTCTTGGGATCTTATTATGTTAGTTTACAACTCAGAAGACAGAAATTGACAAACATGAAATTAGTGAGATCAACATCATATGAAAGTAGCCTCACTTTATTGTTTTCTTGATGGTGTTATTTTGTGCAAATGTTTTTACATCTTTTCAGGTACTTAACTTTGCTTACTCTAGATCTGGGTTGGAAATTCTTTATAGTAATTATCGCTTCCCATTTTCTGATGTTATAAGGTCCCCTTTAACTAACAAGATGAAAACTCATTTCTCTTATGGTGCATGGAATTGCGTGAGTATGAGGTCTATCCTCTTCTTTCATCTGAAATTCGGGATCACATTGGCCATTTTTTTTGTTTTTATACATATATTTTGGCACTTCAGAAGTTGCTACATTTGTTTTGGCCAGCATCAGAGTTGCCACTTGCTTGCCCTAACGTGGAAGACGAATTATTCCTCCCTGCCATTTACAAGGGTTTCCCGAGTCTTGACATTTAGTTTTCTTGCATTGCTCCTTCCCAACCGCCCCAATCCAGCTCACCCCAGTCAACAACCCAACCTAGGTCCTTCCAAGCATCGCCACGCCTCCCCCAGCCAATTAGGCAAAGGGAAAACATAAATAGTATTGATCTGGATACCTGGGCATACCTTTGATGACTTTACGTTGCAGTTTTATCTTTAAGATAAATATGCAGGTCCTGGACAATATCAGGCTTGAGAAAAAAGGTGTCAGAAACTATACTACAACTTCTTGGATTGACCCGCTCTAAGTATAAAATGATAGGAAATACTCATTGTCATTGTTCTATCATGGAAAATTGACTTTTAGTATAAGCTCAGCTACTTTCTTGCACAACATAGTGTTATATATTGTGGCTGTGCCTATCTTGCTTTGTTGTCTCATTGGCTTATTAGGGGGAAAGCTTGGTATATACCACTCTTTTTTGTTAGGCATATTGCCATTGAGCGGCTCTACCTTTTGTATAATGCCTAGCTGACTGATCCTGATGGTTTCGCGTTGCTTTGTTGGCAGTATATCACTATGGAAAGAAAGCTTCTCAAATGGAATACACCAGGTAACAGATTTGAGAGAGCAACTGGTACCCACCCTTCTGACAGGAATCTTCTCTTCCGTGGAATTTGGGTTCGAATGGCTCGTAGTGGGATTGCATCCTTCATGATTGTTGGTGGTTACTTCTTTGTTGTTGATCATCTAACTTCAAGCTGAATGGATAGGACTGATTCTTTGACAAACTGCATAGCTGTTATCATTCGACAATTGCGCATTTGATTCCTTTTGGTTTGACTATATTGCAAAGAACATGAAATGGCTCATGTACTACTCAGCGGCATCTTTCTCAGGAGTGGCTTGAGTGATAGTGTGATTCTGCATGCAGATGTAGAAAAGCTGAATTGCATGTAGAGTGAATTCCTCATGCCAATATGTGCAGATATCCAGTTAGCTTCACTTATCGCAGGACGAGCACGCTTTCCCAGGCTCAATGTGTATATTGTTTATCTAGGTTGGCATCAAACCATAGTCGTACTCTATGTGACTGTCTCTCTTCCACAGATAATGTGCATTTTCTACAGTGTTTTTGTCACATCTTGTAGTGTTGTATGAGTTACATAAAGATCCATTTTAGCTAGGAAAGTCAGACATGTGGGCTGTGAAATGTTAGTCATATTTCATCTAGCATGAACTGAATTGAATGGAACAGTCGTAGCTTCACAAATTGTTCTCAAGCTGATGATTGGATTAGCTTGGTAAAATGTTCCTTCATATGTTTCTTCTTTGTCATGAACAAAACTGCTTTATTTTGTATGTTAATACATATAGAGTTTACGTGCTGCGCCCCACAGTAATCTATAGTAGTGCCCCACAGTAATCGATGGTAGCAAACAGGTGCTGCTAGCAAGTGGCGCTTGACACTCTTTATTAGGATATGCCTATTGCTCGATAAGAGCTTCAAAATCTCTCGGTTTCACCACATGTTCATAATTTCGTCCTACTACCATGACAAACATTATTGATCGAGCAATAGATATGATCTAGATTCCGACTCGAACAAAGTATTTGTTTTCTCCTAAAACGTTTCATAATCTGAGTGAATGAGAGGAATTCACGTCGATTTGCTCACATGTACCAGTGACCCTGCGACCAGGGTGTATGGTCAACTTGTACTTTATGTCCAAATTATCGGACCGTGGCACAATTCCTAATGCTGCATTCTTCGTTGGTGTGGTAGGCTCTATATAATACTTGAATAAGAAAAAAAGGTACTCAATATATAGCATACCACATTATGACCCCCCAAAAAAAAAAAAGCATACCACATAAATTAACGTGGTACGAGTGTCATCAATCCGATCATATATCCACCTTTCAATAGTAGGAGATCTTTGTATTTGTCACAAAAATAAAGATTTCTAAGGAAACATTCGATTGCAATATGCATATGTGGGCCTTTCTAGCTTGGACTTGTTATCTAGCTTTAACTCTATTTTAGTACTACCAAATAGATTCAAGCAGCCCTCGATGGAATGAGATCAGCTGCTATCACTCATAGGCAAGCCAACCAGACATTGGACTTGTAAAGGAATTGGCATGCATGTTCGAAGAGAGAGATTTATACCAAGTCAAAAGTACAACATCCCAAATACAATTAAACCGCATTAAACTGAAGGAAATAGTCCAATCCATAGAACTAGGAAATAAGTCTTGCCGAAAGCTTAAAGAAGACAACAAGTCAGATGAGTCGGAGCATCTTGAAATTATGTCGGTTTACTCCGCTTGAATAATTGCAAAGATCTCTTCCTTCAACAAAAATTTCATCTGGGGGCCATTGGGTTGCTTCCCAGATGAACCTAATGCAACCATAGAATGACAATTTGTTAGAGTTTTGTACTATATACAAAGGCAATCAAGAAGAATTATACCAAAAGCTTTCCTAAATGTCAAAAGCAATCCCCACATCTCTTATGCTTCCTGACCAAAAATGGGTAAAAAAAAAGTTCGGAGATGCACTAAATCTATGTATTTTTATTTTGTGTTCCAATTGAACATGGTAATATATAATAGGAACCTTCGATTTGTATTGACTAAAAAGTTCATTTGCCATATATTTTCATTAGAACATTCAGTCGGTTTTAAGTTCGGTTAATTGAACAGTATGCTGGACAAGTTCCACTATATATAAGAATGACAAGAACCTAATTTACGCACTAAATTAGCACCATAGACACATCAAAATGTGCTAATCAGTGGAGAAATGTTCCAAATATATATATATTTTGACTGCAGTTATAAGGTCAATGCATCACTTTTAAAATGGATCAGGCATTACCTGGTTCGCATAAGAAGAGCTTTGAGCAAGAAACATAACAAATTCTTGCTTCTTTCTCTCAAAATTCAGTTTGGCGTGATCCAGCATTTGTCGCTCTCGTTGCAAATCTTCCAGCAGTTTTTCCCTTTTCCATTTCAAGTCCTTCATCTGGTTTTCTGTTTCATGGTAATTTGCAGGACGACTGGATGCACCCGATGGTACTGCAAATCTCACATCCACATCCTCCCTTAAAATTGATAGCAGGGACAAATGCAGCAGAAGAAGATTCCAGTTATTTTTAGCCAGAGAAAAAAACACACTCTCCAACCTGACTAAAAGGAAATATTACAAGCAAGTTGATATTTTCCCAATGCAAACAAATGACAGACCTTTTTTTAAATCTGACTATTTATCCATGCAAGTATTAACTTGTAGCCACAAGCATACTCAACTTGATTCTTCTGAGAATCATGTTCAAGACTTGAGCAAGAAGACACAATATTGATGAGAACAGAAATGATTAGAGATGAGCTGACGTAACCAAAGAAGCCATCAAGATCACGAAGGACCATGAATGGCCACTTTTTGCGGCATACTTGTTTTTTTAAATAGACCTTCCCAATGTTCAGGAATTGCTTACAAAAATACATCAGAATTTGTACAAGGATGCACAGTGTCATTGATGATGGGCAAAGTTGTCATACCGGTTGCCTAGGGAATACATGCCAGGACCTCTAATTATTCCACCATCCAAAGAGATGGCTCCGCCACTGATTAAAGGACGAGCACATAGCATATGCGCCCGCGTGCTATATACTTGAGTCCGAGAGAAAAGATGATAAAATAGAGTTTCCCTGAGACCATGACCACTGGGTGTTAAACAAATGAGATTGGTGGTTTCTATGTTGACCATATTGACTGCAAAGCCAAGGAAACCAGGCGGACACTCCCCATTCGGTAATCTGGGCTTAAAGAGATCAAGCCTTCTCTGCGAATCATCAGCTACAAAATCACCAACATATGGTCTGACAACATTAAATGAAGTAAATTAGTTTCTGTAAAAGGTTAAACTCCACACCGTCCATCAAGACAGATAAGAATCACACCTTAGATCTTCTAAGCAAATGACGAGAAATCTTCCATTTAAAGTCCTCCCAATGGAAGAACTAAGCCCATGAAGACCAGCACTTTTATCAATACCGCCTTCTCTATTATATGTTTCTAGAGCCTTGAGGCCTTGTCGAGTCTGGCAAACAATGGAAAGCATGGTGTCCGCTCCTAAATACTCAGAGAGAAGCCTAAACCCCAGTCAAGGAGAGTGATGAATTGAGATTAGAGCAAAATCATGAACTAAAACTACACAAATTCAATTTAGGAAATGCAACGGCAAGTGCGAGATATTAGAATTCGTAAGTTTGAACTACCCTACTTGCAGCCATATCTCATGAGCATTCATGAGACAAGGCTCACTGCTTCTCTTTTAACAATCTAAAATATTGATCACGAGACATCAACAAGTGCAGTGACTTCTAACAAAAAAACAAATGATTCAATCACTTTTGACGATAGGAATTTCAGTTCTAACTCCTAACGATTGATGACAGACAGTACAAACCTGCTAAGGTTTTCATCATCGACTTTGCCTAGAGTAGCAACTATGCCAACGACATCCTTGGATAAAGCAAGAACGGGAGCCTGAGTGCCATGACTATTTTTAAGTTGGCACCATATTCCAGCGGCAGATTGGTCACGCTTCAATATTTGCTCAGTTGTTTCCTCATCACCTCCATTGGAAAGGCTATTATCTTCAGCAGTAGGTGGGGCAGAAGAATGATACTTCCCAAGAATGACTGAGTAATGACAAGTCAGCAAGAAACATGTTAGAAGATGCCGTAACAATCAAAGAAGTGGCCGCTGCGCTCTGCTTTTCATTTGAGAAAATCTGTGACCTCACTCCACTTGATGATGTGCATAGTATGCTGACCCAGTACGAATATATGAGGCTGTCTTCAAGGTCTTGCCTTTTGATTTCTTTTCAATAATATTCTGTATCATAAGTAACCATATTGCAAGGAAAGAAGCCCAGATTTCGACTTCCATTTAAAGAAGCATCAGATTTCACATAACATACCTTGCTTATCAAGAATAGAGTCATCCAATATGTTTTTCTGAGCCTTCAGAGATTTTATGTTATCCTCGTGCTGTTTGATTTTTAGACCAAGAGACTGTAGATCATCTTGAAGTCTCTACAGAAACACAGGCGAATATCAGTTGGATTGATCTGTTCGATCTAAAATATGTTCTCATCCCTGTATTGACTGCGCACTAAGTCAATAGAGACTGAACAGGTAAAAATCATTGCTCCTAATAGCCTAGATGTAGATGAATGTTTGATCTGTATGACTCTCCAACAAAATCACGAGCCAATTCAAATACAAACCTTAGAACTGCTAATTAACGCATCTGCCTGTAAAACACCTCCACTCAGCACTCCGCTGTTCGCATTAGCAGGTCCTTCATTCTGATCAACCACCACCAATGCCAATGAGTCTTGGCCGGGTAATGCTGTTGCGTTGACAGAATCCTGAAAAGAGGTGGACATCATCAGCTAATTATGTGCATCTTTGCAAACAAACAAGCTGAAGAATGCAGGTCATGCGATTTGGAGTAAACTTGAGCTGTAAGTATCAAAATAAGTATATAACTGTCACTCGTACACAGAGAAATTCAAGGCGACAGTGCATAATTTGAGTGAAAACGTTTGGACTTTTCTTACTTCAGACTGTCAATGCTACCGTAATGAGTAACAAAAATATGTGCTTGAACAGATATCTTCTCATGTAACCGGAGAAGCCAAAGAACAGAACTTTTCATTCCTGAACTCATCGCAGTATCTGCCCATTTCTTTCTGGTAAGTTCAGCAGATTGTCATGATTGCAACAATGAACTTTCTTTGTTGCATCAGAATTAAAAGTTCGATGAAAAGTGTGGAGCTTATAGCAGTTCGCAAATTTAGATCGTGCCCAAAGAATGACATGCAGGTTTTCTCATATTGATAAATAGCAAAAAATCTAGGTGACAAATGAATTGGCAATGTTCCAACTTTAAAATGAGCTTCCTAATCAATGAATGTAACCGGCTAAGGGAGTCGTCTGCTTTATACCCATGTTCGAACCAATTGGTCCAACACCCACACAGCGAGTCCTCAGTTCTTTCTGCAAAATACGCATTAAATTCCCGCCAAGCTCCTAACTTTTGCCGAGATTAAATATACCTTAGCAACAGCCCATCTCTCCGAAATTCGCCCGATACGCTATACAAACTTGAAAGGTTTGAAATTTCACTAACATAATTACGAGTAACCTCTACAATTCTTACCAGGATTCTTCCAAGTAATCAAACACATTGTCAAATCCGAACACATGTTTTCCTATTACGATCTGAATTTCCGACAGATGATACCAAACTCGAATGATACGAAATCATCCACGGCCAGCTCCACCAAGATCGCATACCATTTGCATATGCAAAACTCTTTCTGGGTACTTAAACCCCCCAAACCCAATACCTCCGAATGTCGAAACGAGGACATGCAAGCACGAATTATACAAAAAATCTCGGCGTTTTCCGCGAAAAAAACAAAACTTTTCGAGAAATCGAAGCTCTGGAGACAATCTAGTTCGTTTTCCCGTTACTGGGTACATCATATTTTTCGCAGCGATCATACGCCAAACGCAAGAACAAGGAGCGAAAAGATCGCGTCGAGTGGGGACTGCGTCGCTCACCTGGTTGTGGTTGTTTGTCTGAGACGTCGACATGCTGAGGAACGATTCAGTTGAAAATGGCGGAGCGCGCTCTCTCTAACTCTCTCTCTCTCTCTTTCACTCAGGTACGACAGCTTATTGGTAGACTCTCGAAGACTGTGCAGACAAGTAGGTTTTTAAATTCGAACAACCTTGTCAAATCTCAATTTCCTCTAATTTCACTTACCAAAAATAGAGAATTTAATTTTGGCCTTCTGCATTTATGAACATAACAAAATACGTCGTGAAATCCGGATTTTTTATTATATAAGCTAGATATTTTAATATCCTATGAATTGCATGCAGTATAAATGCAGATAGCCAGAATTAAACTCTCCGGCTTATACAGCAAAGTCTCTGGATTTCATATTATATTTTGTCATGTTCATAAATGCAGGAGGCCGAAATTAAACTCTTATTTTCATATCCTACGAATTGTATATCAGTGTAAATGACAAATATACCAAAATAGAGAATTTAATTTAGGCATTCTGCATTTATGAACATGACAAAATACGATGTGAAATCTGGATTCTTTACTATATAAGCTAGATATTTTAATATCCTATAAATTGCATGCAATATAAATGCAAACAGCTAGGATTAAACTCTCTGACTTATATAGCAAAGTATCTGGACTTCACATCATATTTTATCATGTTCATAAATGCAGAAGGCCGAAATTAAACTCTTATTTTCATATCCCACGAATTGCATATCAGTGTAAATGACAAATATGTCCTTATGTGCTGCCCATGGATAGATACCTCCTTTCTTATCATCATTACCTGCCATTTCCAACAAAAAGAAAGGAATATAGAGAATTTAATTTCGGTCTTCTACATTTATGACCTTGACAAGATATGACTTGAAATCCAGATATATTGCTATATAAGCTAGATATCTTAATATCCTATAAACTGCATGTAGTATAAATGCAGACGGCCAGAATTAAACTCTTCGGCTTATATAGCAAAGTATCAGACTTCACATCATATTTTGTCATGCTCATAAATGCATAAGGCCGAAATTAAACTCTTATTTTCATATCTTACGAATTGCATATCAGAGTAAATGACAAATATACCTTTATGTGCTGCCCATGGATAGATACCACCATTCTTATCATCATTACCTGCCATTTCCAATAAAAAGAAAGGAATATAGAGAGTTTAATTTCGGCCGCCTACATTTATGAACAGGATAAGATATGATGAGAAGTCCAGATATATTGCTATATAAGCTAGTTCTGGTAGTTTGCATTGTTACTGATGTGCAGTTTATATGACATTAAAATATCTAGCTTATATGGCAATATATCTGGACTTCACATCATATCTTATCCTGTTCATAAATGCAGGCGGCTGAAATTAAACTCTCTATATTCCTTTCTTTTTATTGGAAATGGTAGGTAATGATGATAAGAATGGTGGTATCTGTCCATGGGCAGCACATAAGGACATATTTGTCATTTACACTAATATGCAATTCGTAAGATATGAAAATAAGAGTTTAATTTCGGCCTTTTACATTTATGAACATGACAAAATATGAGGTGAAGTCCAGATACTTTGTTATATAAGTCGAAGAGTTTAATTCTGGCCGTCTGCATTAATGTTACATGCAGTTTATAGCATATTAAAATATCTAGCTCATATAGTAAAGAATCTGGACGTCATATCATATCTTGTCATGTTCATAAATGCAAAATGCCCAAATTAAACTTTCATTGTCATATCCTATGAACTGTATATCAGTATAAATGACAAATATGCCCTTATGCGCTGCCCATGGATAGATACCGCCATTCTTATCATCATTACCTACCATTTCCAATAAAAAGAAAGGAATATAGAGAGTTTAATTTAGGCCGTCTGAATTTATGAACATGATAAGATATGATGTGAAGTTCAGATATATTGCCATATAAGCTAGATATTTTAATGTCATATGAACTGCATATCAGTAAAAATGCAAACTACTAGAACTAGCTTATATAGCAAAGTATCTGAACTTCTCATCATATCTTATCCTGTTCATAAATGCATACAACCAAAATTAAACTCTCATTTTTATATCCTATGAATTGCATATTAGTGTAAATGACAAATATACCTTTATGCCCTGCCCATTGAAGGATACTGCCATTCTTATCATCATTACCTGCCATTCCCAATAAAAAGAAAGGAAAATTAAAACTCTCAAATCCAACTACTTTAAAACAATTTGCATATTAATTGTAAAAAAGAGATGTTATCGGTCAAGATGTAGGAAAGGTTTTCACTTGGAGAAAAATAAATAGGAAAAAGAAATGTTCCTTTTTTCTTTAAACTTTTTTCATAACATTAGCAAATGAGCAAGCGGAACCAAATTATGAAGTCAAAGCATACATGAACACAATTCAGTTACTTTTGAATGACTCTTGCATGATAGATTTAATCGACAATGGACATTCTTCTCCTCTAAATTTAACGCAAAAGGAATGGAAGACGGAGACCATCATTGTCACTATTCTTAATTGTTTCAATAATGACAAACCAACACCTAATTCCACATGTCTAATAGCAAGAGAAAAAAAAAATCTTACAACACAACTCTTACAATCATGGAAACAAATGATTTCATAAATAATGTCAAATCACGCACCTCTTCATATCCTCTGATTGCATGCCACTCATTAAATCCTTGTACTGCCCTCCATGTTTTCCAGTGATCCGAAGACTCAACAATATCAATTGTTTCTATGTCTTTGACGGTGTATCTGAATGCTAAGGAATTATTCACTGTTATTATGATCCATATCTAATAAGGAAAAAAAAAAGAACAGACATGCGGTACTAATTGTGAGATAATAGCAAAATCCTACAAAACCCCACAATATAACTTTCTCAAACCAACAAAAGCTAAATAAAATAAAATAAAAATGCAGGCCTAGGATAGAAGTGGGAGGACACAGATTCTCACTGAATCAATCCATGATTATTGCTGGAAGTGCACCAAGCCGGAAGTATTGTCCACCATTTCTCAGATTCAATTCTAAAGAACCTGGAAATACACAAATGAAAGTAATAAAAATTTCTCTTGATTCACTACTAAAGAAATTGAAACTGCACAATCGGAAACATCTTCCGGCATCAATATCTAAGCATTAAAGTTATTATATCATTCTAAAGCTACAGAACTGAATACGATAAGAAATATAAATGGGCTACAACGGCATCGACAAGATAAATCAGTCAGAGATATCCAGATCTAGTAAGAGAGAGAAAGTATGATCATTCACCTTCGCGATTTCGAAAAGTCTAATGCTTCGACTCTCTCATTGCTTTCAGATTTGACATGAAATAGAGAGCTATGGAGGAGAAAGAGTTTCGTCTTTCTTGCTGCGGAGGAGGAGGCGCAAATGATAGGGTTTCTCTAGAAAATAACTTTTATACTACGGACACGAGAAAACCTATCCCGACTTTTATCTTGACTAGAGGTGGCAAATGGGTAGGAGGGTTGGGTTTGGGTGAGTCATAATTTAACCCAAATTTGCCCATTTAACTCACAGCGGCCAATTTATTTTCTAAATAATTTAGATGGCCCATACCAATCCAATCCAATCCAGATCCAAACCAAACCCACTCATATAACTCACATTTTTTAAACTATACCAATTAAGCATTCAGTAAATTTAAAATAGTAAAAATTAAGCATATTTAAAAGACAAAAAGGCCAAATAGATGTCCTCTGCCCTTTCTTCCTCTTGGCTCCCACCTGAACTCCGGCTAGTCCTTTCCCACGGCTCCTTCGACGTACCCTGCCGATTGATGATGTGGTTGGTTCTCCTCATTTAAACCACGTAGCATCGACATCCGATGCAAACCATGTGGCTTAGCAAACAATCGTGATTGACCTGTCCATCGCTTGAGGGAGAAGGTGGCTAAAAATGACGGTCAGATTGGGATGAGAGAGAGAGAGAGAGAGAGAGAGAGAGAGAGAGAGAGAGAGAGAGAGAGAGAGAGAGAGAGAGAGAGAGAGAGAGAGAGAGAGAGAGAGAGAGAGAGAGAGAGAGAGAGATTGAAACTGTTGTTTTTGCTCGAGAGACTATCGCTAACAAGATAGAGAGATTGAAATTGAAACTGTTGTTTTTGCTCGAGAGACTACCGCCAGCAAGACTGTTGCTAATGCTGGAGATGCCGCCGGCAAGACCATCGATATAGGGGGCACCGTCGGTGACGGTTCTCTTTGCCCTTTCTCCCTTTGTCGAAGGAGAGAGGAATTTTTTACTATTAAAGAATATATGGTTATTTCTTTTTTTATTTTTCTTAAACTAATTACTTTTTTGGGTTGAAATAGGTTTAAAATGGGTTTGTTCTGAACTCACTAAGACTCACATCTAGTTGGGCTTTGATATTGTGAACCTTTTTAAACCCGTGGGATCATTAGCGTAATCAAGTCCCCGTACTCAGAATCTCTGATTCGTAGAATCGTGGTATTTCTCCCATACCCCGATTAGGTTTCTAGTCAACCTACCAATAATGACTAGTGGCGACTCTAAAATCGAAAATTTAGATAAAATAGGAAATTACCATTCGCTATCACGTGAGGTATGGTCTGGGAGAGACCCTTGCACGGAAATACCTCCTTAGCGCGTAAACCCGGAAAATCCAAAAAAAAAAAAGTGCGGCGCGACAGGCTTGACGACTCCACTGGGGAGTTACCTTTTCTAAGTGGACTTAGGCCTAGATAGAACGATACGCTTGTGATTTGTGCTTGCAAGGATCCTAGGTACGTCCCGCTGATAATTGTGTTAAATGTTTTTGCAGACGGGAGGTATAAGGGTGTAGTCTGTGTTAACTTTTGTTTTGCAGGATGGTGTCGGGAATGAATGTGAAACGATTACTTTAGAAGTGCTGTTTGATTACTAATTGCTATGCACGCATTTGAATAGCTTAGGCACTACACCATTGGCATACACCACCCGTGGCCCAACCCCGGCTACAATTAGGTTTACCTTTAGGAGGTATGTGTTTAGGTGAAACTGTGAGCCGATTGCTCATGGGATCGTTTAAATATAATACCGACCACCGAGATGGAATAATATTCTTTCACTTTAGGCTGATTGCCTATTGGGATGGAATCCCTTATCCATTAAGGTGGTGACCTCGAGCCTTTAGAATACCTTACCCTTTTAGGCATCAAAACCTCACTGGTTGCATTTGCTTGTCTTTGTGGTTGGTATACCTAAAACCAAACCGCAACATTTTGGTAAGCAAGTATCGTTGCCCTTCCTTCTTTTATAATTTTGCAAACTAGTTGGCACATTTTTCAAAAAATACCTAAATGGTGATCAATGATTGGTTTAAATGTCCTTTCTTATTAGAATGAATGATTAAGGCGTCGTACTCCATTATGACCATTCTTTCGTTTTTAGACGAAATGTATAGGTCCACGGCATTCAATTGTTTATCCATTCATTTCGATGTATTCGAAATTGTAAACCATAGTTTAAGACTTTATGGTCTAAATGGAGTGTGATGAAATGGGCATTTATACCAAATATTGAATTCATCCCTGATTTCAACTATATACTTTTTTAAGGCATAAACGGATTTAAAGTGACATTTGCATTACTTTTTAAGTATGCAAGTATACTTTACCTCCATTTTACCTTAAAAGGACATATAATTGAAATGGACGCATTAAAATCAATCGGTAATCCATGGTGAATAATAATCAATTTCTTTTACGTGCTTTAGATCGAAATGGGGAAACTAGACATACAAGTCATTTTGATTCCAAGGAAGGAGCTTTTGGCATGGTAGGCAAACATGACAAAAGATAACAAAGTATACGTGAAGGAAAGACTCGGGTATTTGTTCAAGCTCATCAACCTAGAGTACCAAGTGAGTTTAATTCAAACATTATCCCATTTCTGGGAAGTTACCACCGCCACATTTCAATTGAGCGAGCACAAGATGGTACCTACACTAGAAGAATATACGGCAACCATGGGGATTGATTTCGAGTTAAGAATTATTGAGCCCCCAATTGGATTATCACCCATGAGTGTTATAGCCGAATTCTTAAACTTGAAGACCCCTGAAGTGGAAAAGTTGATCAAGTCAAATACCGGGATATTTTCTCTATCCTACTTGGTGGCCAATTACTCCAAATTGCCAAAAGAAACTGGAAATACTTCTGCAAGGGTTTTCACTCTTGCCTTCTTCAGATTCGTCTTATTCCCTACATCAAGGACTGAATTGAATCCTCTCGTTGCAGTAATTGCTAGGTAAGCTTGCCTAAAATGGGACTTCTCCAATATGCTCTTGGCAGAGACCATCATTTTATTGAACAGATACCAAAATCAACAAAAAGGTATACTTCAAGCCTCAGCTGGGTTACTTTCTGTGTGGTTTATTTCCCATATCCGACCTTGGGAACGTCATATGCGCATTCAAGAGATCAACTCATCTACCAACCCTATCGAGAAGTATTTGAAACTTCAAGACAAACTGCCAAAATACTCCTTTCATGAGTGGGAAAACTTCATTAGAGCATTAACTCCCGACCAGTTTCAATGGAGAATTCAATAGCCGAAGATAGTGAAGCTCAAATTACTTGCCAAGAAGGCAATTTGGTGCATTTGCTTGGATTGAGTGGTGGGACAGCTTATTGCCCACTAAGAGTCATACGGCAATTCAGAATGATTCAGCAAGTTCCACCTATTTAGCATCCTAAGGAGTTCACATTTGAGATACCACAAAAATCTCGATCAGAAAGGGAAAAAAGAGAGCTACGAACAAGGGTTGATGGGATCGTGAATTCCTTGAAGAAATCAACTAAGCAAATAGTACAATGGCCTGAAGATTTGGAAGGAGAAATGAAGCTCTTTTTGGCATCCAACGAGTATATAAAGTGGTTGAAGGCTAAGCGACCAATCGACGTCAAATCATATGTACCCTTGAGTGTTACTACCCATTTCGATGAGCCATATATCCCAGATACATTGTGCCAAGCATGCCAGGTGTAGAGCTGTATGTTCCCGAAGAGGTTGTAATCGATGTGGAAGAATGGGAGACACGAGCCAATGAATATGAAGAGGCTGAAGCTACCTTAGCTAGCAAGAAGCCTAGACTTGTTTAAGCTAGTGTTCCCCTATTTTGATGTATAGCATTGTAATAAAAATTTTCAAAATTGAAACAATTGCTTAATGAATAATTGCATAATACAGTTTCAAAGTACAATTTGAAAAAAGTCACCATGGATTACAATTCTTTGAATTGTATGATCACTTGAGAAGAATATTGATAAGAAATTCTATGCAAGGCTAAGGCTTGCATAAAAGATCTTATCCTTGTTAATCATAAGAAATCATACAATTAAAAGAATATAAGGTTTCATGATTCTTTCACTACGCTAACAATGGGGCTTTTTGTGAAGCAGGTTGTTTAACAACGGAAGGTAAAAGACCTCGAACTCGCTTGCAAATAAGAATGGCGGAAGAAGAAACTCGTACTCGACTAGCTGAGGTTGAGAACCAAATGACCCAAATGGCCGCCATGATGGCAGAAATGAAGGTTTTTATTCTCGCATCTCGAGGATCTTATCCTACTACTCCAAATGTGGGAACTTCAAATGCTACTGAAACACCGATTGAAGACCCAATCAGAAGCAAAGAACCTGTTCAAGAAAATCCTTCAAAGACTATGCCTGAGGTGGTAAATTTGGAAGAAGATGATCAGACCAAGAAAACATCCAAAACAAAGGATGAAGAAGAGACCAAGAGATTGGCCAAAATTGAAAAGTGCCTAGCAAGTCAAGGTTATGAACTTCAAAGGTTCGACAAGTTCTCACCGTATGCGAAGGTGATTGTTCCAGAAAATTATAAAGAACCGGAATTCGTGAGCAAGTATGATGACACTGGTTGTCCTAAAAGCCATTTAAAGTATTATCTCCGCAAGATGGTGAGGTATTCAGATAATACGCCACTTCTTATTAGCACATTTCAAGACAGTTTGAGAGGAGCGGCCCTCGCATGGTACACCGCCCTCGACATAGAAGAGTTCATTGAATGGGACCATTTGGTGGCAGAATTTCTTCGCCAGTACAAGTTTAATGTTGAAGTAGTCCCAACTAGAGAAGATCTCGTCAGAACCGAGAAACGGAAGAATAAAGGGTTTAGAGCCTATGCTTAGAGATGGAAAGTTGTTGCCTCACAAGTAAAGCCCACCATAAGTGAAGACGAGCTCATTGAGCTCTTTCTAAAATCATTACCAATTGAGTACTATGATAAACTTCATGTATCAGGCTGTCAAACATTCACTATGTTGGTAAAAGTTGGCGAGAGAATTGAATGGGGATTGAAAGAGAAGAAGGCTCAAGAAACAGCAACACGAAGGCCTTACCCCGGGAGAAAAGACAAAG